TACACAATGAACGCTCACAGATCCAGCTCTCTGTGTTTGCTGCAGCCACACGGCAGGGATCCATTTTCTCCTCATTTAGCTTTGCAATCTTTCCTTGCCCGAGCCGTATGTTTACGGCCTCTGCTGAAGGGCCTCTTTGGCGTGGGGCACATCTTCTGCAAGTATCATCCAGGGTCTGTTTGAGGGGCACGCTGTTTCAGAGGGCTGGTGCAGAAACCAAGACTCGGTGAGAGGTGAAAATGTTCTGGAAGTCTCTGAGCCGGAAAACTTCACGAGGGCACGAGGTTGAGAGTGCAGGGAAACAGAAAACGCTGGCTTTTACTTTAGTTTCAATTTGCTCTCATGTAGCGTGATTGCTGTGAAGCGCGTGCACACACACACACACACACACACACACACACACACACACACACACACACACACAGAACAAACCACACATAGTTGTTTTTTTAAAGACCAGGTTTACTGAAAACCCATTTTTAATGATTATTTCTGATTAGTATGGGCCACTCTGAGTTTTTTATGCAGGCTGAGCATGAAAATAGTCTCCTACACTTATCTCCTGCATTAGCTTCTAATAGTAAATAGGTGGTGAACTTCTAGGATTCGAAAAGCCTGACAGATCTACGTCACACTGTCCCTTAGCAGTAATGGACTCACCCATCCTGACTCACGAGTGGGAAGGCTGTTGTTGTTTTAGCATCTAGGAAACAACAGAGAACGTCTTGGCTAGTAGAAGCTAATGTTAGCATACAATGTGCTCTTCGCTCCTCCCAAGATCTCCCTGCCACCTGTGGCTGTACAGTAGATGAGCGCCTTAGATGGCTGCTCTCGCTGGGGGAAGCAGGATCCCAGCCCACCCTAACCTTGGCATCACCTCATACTGTAAGTACTGGCGGCTGATGCAGACTGAGCGCTGATGATGTCATCACTGCGGAGTGGAAATCAGAGCGTTTGGTGTGAGAGTTCTGATAGGCACGAGTTCTGACTCCCTGGTTCCTCCAGGCAGAAAACAGACCATAAAATACCCAAAGCCATCGCCTCAGTGGTAGAAATGATAGTTTTGGTGATTCGGAACAGAAAAGCATGAAAGGGTTCATTTCTTCAGAACCGTCCCATGATGCAGCACGGGGGCATCATGTGCCCGGGCTCAGACCCAAACACCTCTGGCCCAGTTTAACCCAGAGTTCCTGCTGCTCGCTGCACAACATGAGATTTACTGATCGGAAGAACAGAACGAACCTAGAAAACATCTGGTCGCATCATCCTAGCCTCATCCTGAAGCACCAACCATCTCTGATGTGCTCATCGAGCCACATTTATGTTTTCTCATCACATCACATGTTACTGAACATGTTACTCCTGCTGTTAGAGGACAGAACAGTGCAGGTTGGTAAAAACTCTACCAAAACCTAGAGCTTGCATTTGACATCATCCAGGTTTAAGATATCCAACATTTCATTTTCAAAACTGACCCTGAAACCCCGCGGTGACTAAAAGTCTCCCGATCCGCCCGCCCGCCAGTCCCCTCCCACCCTTCTCTTCATGGTGGAGGATAACAGCTGATCGGGTCGTGGTCTTCCTGTCTCCGGGTTTCCTCTGAGGACTTCAAAGTTTTTCACATCGCCCCAGTTCTGCTGATTATTCCCGTAAAAGCCTGGAAACCAAATCTGCAGACAGAGTTTCCACTGCAGCGAGGAGAGCAGAGAGCTTCATCAAGAGTAAAAATAAAGCAACGTTTAAAAGTGGCACACACAGAATTGGATACGAAGAAGTAATTATGCAGAGCGCAGCCTCCAACGTGCTAATTCATCACTCCCTGCACCTTCTAGTGTTTTCTAACTGCTGTTGAGACACAATTCAATTTACCATAAAAATTATTTAGTTGCGGGCAGCAATGACTTTAACTTTTTGCAGATTTTAAGTTTGCATTAAAAGGCAATTAGCTTCAGTCTCATGCTTTGTTACTAATTTCTGGTCAGATAGATTGCTTCTTTAGAATAAATGAGCATTCACACAAAGATGGAAAATGTAGATTTTCCTGTCTGTGACTTTAGTTTTCTACCACATACTTCCTGAAAACGCTCCATCACTGGACTTTTCCTCCTTTAAGCCGCATTCTGACTCAGACGTAACTGCGGCTGGGTGAAATGGAAACAATGCTAGCATGCTGTTAATTTCCATATTGGTCTATATCGATAGCCACCACAATGTAAAACAAATACATCTTTGATGCTTTTAAGTGAGATGTGAAGATATCAGAAAATTAATTCTGATTTAAAGATTTATTTTCAAAAGCTGAATATGTCATCAAATATTAAATAACTGTCTTGGATAAATAAAGGAGGTTTATTTTAAAGCATTAGAGGGTAACATGACTCAAAACAGGTATTGGAGTACATATTATCATGTTTTAAACATCCCTTCATTGAGAATAAGCAATAAAAATCAATAACAGACAAAAATGTTTAATTTCAACGAAAATGCAAGGTTTCAAAGGAAAAAAATAAAACAATGAAATAAACAAAACATAGACAAAAAGCAAATAAATTATAATTCTTCATATCCTCTAAGATGTTGTTGATGCAATCTATTTTGCAGGGATCGATTAGTTTAGTCGGCTGAGATCTGTGTGTGTTTGTTATCCACCTTATTCTTATCTCCCACGGTCCTTAGCATAAAAATGCGACCAACTTCTGGTTCCACATTTATGCAAATTGCGCTACGTCCTGCTGCTTTTACAGACGGGAACAGTGTGAGCATCAGCTGTCACGGGTCAAACAGGACGTCGTTACCATCCCTACTGCACTGGAGGCGCGTGGGACCACCATCTTAAATCTGGCCAAAGCTACCGTACAGTAACACTTTTAGCTACACTCGAGGCTATGCTGACTCTTAAACGCTCCGAGGCTTTTCAGACCCTGCATAGTAATGAGGTTGGTCTTGTTTTGTTGGAAGAGGTGAGACACAATCTTATGTCCTCCAAAGCAGACGCAGGGATTGAGTGCATGCTCCAAAAATAGGGAGAGCCTGGTGACAGATGCAACACAGAGCTAAAGATTAAAATATTGCATCGCTGACACATTTCTGATGTCTGTGTCGACATTATGGTGCTTTTAGGTTAGTGACATCACGTCGTATTATAACTATTCAGAAAGTTGTACACATAAAATATTACCTGTTCTTGTGAGACTGTTGTCTCCTCACCACCTGGTGTCTCCTCTCCGGAGGTTTGCCACATCCCAACAAAAGTATGCGGGTGTTCCTCTCTGAATTTTTTTCTCAACAAAATGAAAGGAACGCACGAATAAAGTTAGTTTTTTTTTTTCGTCTTCCACATCCTTCTGGGTTCCTCATCTCTGGGGAAGCGGTTAAAACTGTTCCGACGCTCGCCGCCACACTCTCGCACTCCAAGGCGCGTGTTCTAAACAACGACAAACACCGCGTGAGTACGTTGGGTGATGCATGGCCGTTTCTCATTGAGCCCAGCCAGGAATGAGGTGGATAGACTCTCTCTTCTGGTAGAGCTCTTTATGTGGAGAAGGGAAATCATTGTTACATGCGTGGTGCTTAAAGAGCACGTCACGCCCACATCAATCCTTTACAACGTTCATTATGTCCATCCATCCATCCATCCACTCATCCATCCATCCATCCATCCAACCATCCATCCATCCATCTATCCATCCATCCATCCATCCATCCATCCATCCATCCATCCATCCATCCATCCACCCATCCATCCATCCATCCACCCATCCATCCATCCATCCATCCATCCACCCACCCACCCACCCACCCATCCATCCATCCATCCATCCATCCATCCATCCACCCATCCATCCATCCATCCATCCATCCACCCACCCACCCACCCACCCATCCATCCATCCATCCATCCATCCATCCATCCACCCACCCACCCACCCACCCACCCATCCATCCATCCATCCACCCACCCACCCACCCACCCACCCATCCATCCATCCATCCATCCATCCATCCACCCATCCATCCATCCATCCATCCATCCATCCATCCACCCACCCATCCATCCATCCATCCATCCATCCACCCATCCACCCATCCATCCATCCATCCATCCATCCACTCATCCATCCATCCATTTTCATCCACTTATCCGGAGTCGGGTCGCGGGGGCAGTAGCCTGAGTGGAGAGGCCCAGACGTCCCTCTTCCCTCGTTCATTATGTCCTCTTCTTAAATATTTAATGAGGTTCTTTATTTATTTGGACATGCGCGGTTGTGTGGACTCCTGTAGAAGCGATTGGGGGAAAGCCGAGGCCTTGGAAAGAACAGTTTGTTGACAGAATGTTATCTTGTGTGCCAAGCACCGTAGTGACCTGGACTTTAGGAAGCAGGAGAGAAAATCCACCCAGTTAGTGGACTTATACGTGCAGATGATAGGTGAAAAATCACCCTTTCTGGACGTTACACAAACAACGTCCACGCAACTGAAATGTTCTGTCCCGTATTTTCAACATCATTCGCTGTGTCCTCCATCTTTTTTCCCATTCGGAGCCGTCATTTTGTTATAATTTTACCCACCGCATCAATAAAAGCCAAATCAGAAAACCACTTTTCAGAAACAGTTTGTTATTTATATTTTTAAGGCCTATGAGTTGACTTTAGCCTAGGGCTGTTTTAGAACAGCAGCAGTATATATTTGGAAGTGGAAAAAGCACTTTTCCCTCCACCGTTCCTCTTTAGAAGACAGGTGGGTGTGTTTTCTTTAACCTGTCAAAGGTTGCTTTAGGGCTCAACTTCCTGTTTCTGTAACCTTTTCATCCTCCTCAGTGGTCAGATGATATCTGAGCTAGCATTGCTCCAAAGCTCACAAACATTCAATGATCCATTTAGCAGCAACTCCAGCAGGAATCTGAATTACTTCCATGATTTGAAGGTTCGGTTGGAAATCTGGGATTTTATCTTGTTCGGATTGATTTTACGTCTTATTTTAATCGTGTTTTCTGTTCACAGGTGATCCTGATCCTCACTAAACTGTACGACTTTCACATGGGCAGCGTCACAGAGAGCACGCTTTGGAGGTGAGTACTTCAAGGTGTTTTTTTTTATTGAAACAACACAGAATGATGTCATCTTCATCATCCAACATGTGCCTCTTCACATAAACGCCCGATGAAGGTGAACCTCCATCATCAGTCATTTCCTGTGCAGCTGAATCTGTTTTCCTGTTTTCGTGTCTCGTGCTCCGAACACACTGTTCCCGTGTCATCTGCCTTCAGACGGGGCACTCAGGTGTAGGATGCTGTTTTCCTTGTTCTTGTTCTGGGAAATTATCTGATGTACTCATCATCTTCTCCCCTGCAGCAGAGAAAACACACACACTGATGAAACACACACTCGTGAAACAAAGAGAGCGCTTGTAAAGGAGGAAAATACATCAGCAGCAGGAGGGGTAACACATCCCTGATGAGCTGAAACCCATTTCTGGGTAACACACGTACAGTTGTTTGTTTGTCTGACTTTGGGGAAGCTGGCAAACACATGACAGACGTGTTTTGGATGTAATAAATAAAGAAAAAATAGAGTAAATAACCCGTACAAATCCAGCTGTGCAGCCAGTTTTTGTCTGATTATTTGATTTAACACAAATGCAAACGTATTATTGAAGGGATAAAATAATAACCTCTTATTAAGCCACTACCTTGACACGAGTAAAATCATTTGTTCAGACATGAACACTTGAGTTGACCTTTGACCTTGCTCGCCTGTGTTGGCTTAAGTTAGTTAGACACCAACAACACACAGAAAACACCTTTTACAGTCTGTGGGTCAAACATGAGTCATTAGCAGCACCAATCTGTGTACGGCTGTTAAAAACTTTATGAATTGGTTTTGCACACAAGTCAAAATTAATCTTTTATGGTGCTTTTAATTAGAAGGTGAGTGTGGCTGCATTAGCACCAGCGACGCGTCGGTCGCGAACGAACCGGCTCTTTGAAGTGAACGACGGGATCTGGCTCGTCATTGGGAACCGTTACCCCCCAACCCCTCCCCCCTTGCTTTGGTAAAAGCTACAGGTGATTGGTCAGCATGTGTAACTGCGTGTCCAGACTGTCCACACACAGAGCAGTAGGGGCGGGGAAGAGGGAGGATCAGACTCAGACGCACAGCAGAGCACATGTGGGCGGAGGGAGACGAGAGGGAATGAGGAGGAGGAAAAGGGCGAGCGAGAGGGAGGCGAGTGCGACGAAGACGGTGAGAAAATGAGCGCCAGCAGTCGGAAAGTGGAGATTTCTTAAAGTGTTCAGTTATTAAATCCATAGAAATGATAAATATTTGATATATTGCATTGTTTTACATGAGTAAATCATTTTACATACAGTTTTGCATTATTTTGGTCATAAATGTACTCAACAGAAAATCTGAGGAGCCACTTGGGAGCCAAAAGAACCGGCTCTCTAAAAAGAGCCAGAATTCCCATCACTAATTAGCACCCTCGCACTAGCAGTGCTGGGATTTTGTAATTGCGATTAAAGCCTTTGTTTACCTCTAAAGCCGCATGCGCTGGGCTCGGAGTGGAATCCAGAACATAAGCCTGCGGCACACGAGAGCAATCTGCTGAGCAGGTGGCCTCGAATGACCGTTTGCTCAGCAGACACCTCGCTGTGTGCGCCTGATTTTCACTGAGTTTTCCGTCTCACGACACGCTAAGGTGAATATCTGACCAATTAGATATTGTCCGCCTCACGGGGGTGAAAACTCGCCGTCTGCACGCTACTGAGCTGCTGGCTGAGCTGAAATAGTCTAGTGGCCAATCAAAGTGCATTCTCCGCTCACATGACCCTAAGATGTATTCTGATGCACCCCCTGCCCTGTCTGCGTGTCTGAAAAATAAACAAAACGGTACCTTGCGGATCGAAGGGCCTTTTTCTTTCCATTACCCTATCGAAGGATCCGGGCAGTGGTACTGTCTTAAGGATTCTGGGTCTTCCAGGCGCATCTCTTGGAGTGCAGTGGCATAAACGCCTTGCCTGGCCCCGCACCCATACTTTCCTAACCTTGAAATGCCGGTGGCGGCGACGCTTCATCAACAAAAAAAGTATAGGCATTTCCTCCGTTTCAGCTGTCTCCGTTTTGTTTATTTTCTTTTCTGACATGCCGACAGGGGCCTGCCACCTTGGGGTCATGTGAGCAGAGAACATAGGTGTCATAAGGTATCTGCTGAGCAAACGGTCATTCGAGGCCATTTGCTCAGGAGATTGCTCTTGTGTGCGACAGGCTTTCCAGCCTGCTGCTGCTGAGTTAGGCTCTTGATCTCAGAAGATTCTGGTTCTGTCCAGATCAGGTAGTAAACAAAAGACTCACTGCCAGCTCTGCTCACATCATAGTCTGATGTGCAAAATCATTTTAATGGGTTGGAATACTTGTTCCTTCATTACATTCACAGTAGGAATGAATGCCTTGGAAGTCGTACTCTGGGGAAAAACAGCCTAGAAGTGCCTGAATCAGCACAGAAAAATCAGCTGGAGGTGAAAGTAGCCTCCAACGACATTTGGAGTTTTATTTCCTTATAACTGGACATCTCGCCTCTGATTGGACAACAACACGACTCTACCACTAACTGCTGTGCAACACTGATGATTTAATTTCCATAAACAACACAAGCCTGAAGGAGTTCTGCTGTGTGGTAGTGTTGCTAATGTTAACGGTTAGCTTCTACTAACCGAGACGTTCTCTGCTGTTTCCTGATGCTAAAACAACAACAGCCCTCCCCGTCGTGAGTCGAGATGGGTGAGTCCATGATTGTTAAAGAGCAAATTGCAGCTTAATTCTCTTTCTAATTCGTATAAACTGCAGTTCAAAAATACTATTTGAAATGTTTATTGTGGATGTTTCATTTTATAATACATAACAGCAGAGTTTTTGGAGTAAAAAGTGTTTTTTCTCAGCAAAGCTTCTAAAAAGGCTCTTTTTTTCTAAATCTGAACCTCTGACGTAACCAAAGAAGCTAGGTGCTGCCTCAGCTCAGTGTGGAGAGTGGCTAGTTTTAGGGTACAGAGGTCATGTGATCCAGTCAGTGTGTGTGTTTACTAGTTTTGGATTGTGTTTGTTTTGATAAACTAAAGTTTTGTGAAGGCTGTACCAACTCCAGCCCGTCTGAACATCGAGTCCACGGGTTTCCAGACGAGAAACAACGCCTCTATCTCCGTGTCTGAGGGCGTTTTGTGCTACTGAAAAGACGGAACTTCAGTAGCTCATATCGGTCGGTACCAGGACAGGGAGGCCCGCGCTGGGCTCCAGAGACCCGTGGCGGGGTGTAAAAAAAGTACATGCAGATTTTTGGAGCTCAGATCACCGTCAGAACCAGGTCAGAACCGACCACCAGAAGAGACGTGCAGCTCAGCGGGACAGCTGGTTTCTGGGTCAGAACCAGATCAGAACTGCCGCGGACCTCCAGGAGAGGATCATGCACAGCTTTAAAAAATACCAGCTGGACTGGCTCGCTGGCATCTGGGTCGGATCCAGATCACAGAAGCCCGCATGTCCAGAACCGGGTGACAGACATCTCTCTCCCTCTCTCTAAGCGCTAAACTGCATTAAGTGAACGGATATTAACGAGTGTGAGACAGCTGACAGACGCTCATTAGTATTAATATTATATTAACTAACCGATACTATTTTAATTGTCTGGTACACGATAGTAACCTGTACAGTACTGTACAGTATGTTTATGTTTATTTGTTTAGCAGACGCTTTTATCCAAAGCAACGTACAGTTTATAACCTATAGGGCATGTTGTGATCCGTGGGGGAAACCGGAGTACCCGGGGCAAACCCACGCATGCATGGGGAGAACACGCACCTCCACGCAGAAAGGCTGCAGCCGAGTTTCGAACCTGCAACCTTTGTGCTGCGAGGCAACAGTGCTAACCACTGTGCCACCATGCAGTATGTACAAGTAAGGAAGTAGCAGCTACGCTAGTTTTTACAAACTGGTGCACCACAGGGGACAGTTTTATGTCCTTTTTTATTTACACTGCACACAGCTGACCATAGGAGCAGTTTACCGTCTTGTCACCTACAGAAGTTCTCAGGTGACACTGCCCTACTGGGCCTGATCTCTTGGGGTGACGCCCTGCCTTACAGGGAGGAAGTTAACTCCTTTGTTAGATGGTGTGGTGTAAATTTTCTACAACTCAATGTTGGCAAAACACAAGAGCTAGTTGTTGATTTTAGAATGAAAAAAACAAACATTCTCTCCAGTAGTGATCTAGGGGTGTACCTCGACGATAAGTTAAACTGGAAAAGTAATAGTGATGCTGTCGTTAAGAAGGCCCGGTCCAGATTGGTTTTTTCTTAGGACGCTAAGATCCTTTGATATAAGTAGGAGGCTCTTGAATAGGGTTGGGCATCGTTTGATTCTGAAGGATTCAGATTCCAGTTCCAATTCCTCGTTTCGATTCCGGTTCCTATCGATTCCTGATTTCGATTCTTTGAAGACATGACATGTCTACATGAGCAAGCTAACCACAGGTCCTACTGGATGAAATAATCTTAACTCCAACATGATTTTTAACTCTATGAACAACAACATCACCTTCATGTAGACTAAAACATGTTTTGGAGACAAAAGAAGACGACTTGCAGCACAACCAGTGTGTTTGTTTCTGACCACAACCAAAGTGTGGAAGCAGCCTCTGGGATGAGAGGCTAAATGTCTCCAACATATCCAGAAATGTCCAGCTGTTTCCAGCTGAAACTCTCAGGATGATCATGTCCAGGATGACTGAGAGCTACACCTCCATGCTGCAGCAGCTTCAGTCACAACAGGAAGTGAAGCTTAAACGTAGCTGCTGTCAGTAACAAGCTAACAGATTTAAACATTAAAACTCAACAGAAATAGTTCATAAAGGAAATTAAAATGTTCACAACTTTGTGGTTCATCATTATTATTATTATGATTGTTATTATTATTATTATTATTATTATTATTATTATTGTTGTTATTATTATTATTATTATGATTGTTATTATTATTATTGTTATTATGATTGTTATTATTATTATTATTATTATTATTT